ATATATCAAGGAATGCTTTGTGCGGAGAGCTCTCCTTGCAAAGCATCATGGGATTTGCTGTCACCGCGGCCCGCTGTCGCCATAGGCCGACACTACCTGACAGCGGTGACTAAAACAAAGATGGCGCAGGCACCATGCGTTGAAGGAGGAGTTACGTGATCAACAGTGCAAAAAGCAGTGATCATCTGTCTCAACGGTCAATTAACTGAGTTCACTATAAAGTTCACTATATAGTGCCCACAAGTGGCGGCTCGCCAATAGAGGGCGCTAGGGCACCGCCCCACCCACCAATGACCCTGATTGAGAGATAAGAAATATAAATTTATTTTTTTATAATTCAATTTTAAATTAACATTTGAAATATATTCATCTGTATTTCTTAGATAAGCAAGATTAATATTTAATCTTTAATGACTAGTAAAGCGTCATTCCATTTTTTGTTGGATTGGTGACGTATTTCCGCACTAGGGCGCAAAAATCTTTGCCCATTGACTCTCGTTAAAAGTTGTACATGTGCAGTAACTCCTCTGCAATACAGAGGCATAGGAGAGCTGACAGGAAGTGTATTTGCTCACCACCTCCCGCAACAGCGCAGACGTTTTGCGGGTGATTGACAGGTCGAGTCGCGGGGGTTGGAGACGCACTGGAGTGAGAGAGAAAGAGACACATGGCGCAAGAACCGTCCTTTTCCAGGACCTGTTTTAGCAAGAAGGCTTGGCTAACTGCATTTAGCGAGGCTATCACTTTATTCAGCTTTCCCTGCCTACTTTTTCAAACGTCAGGATCTGACCCAGCATGGTTTGAGACAGGTAGAACTGATTTAAAGCACTTTTTAGAAAAAGCAAAGAAGAATGAACAATCTGGGATTCACGTGGAAAATAATATAATATAGTTGACTTTTTCTAGATGTTGCTTAATTTGTATAGTTGCTCTCAAACACATTCTCAGAAAATAGTATTTTATAAAGCTGACTAATAGCTTCCCATTATTAAACTGGCAAATTATTATTTTTTAGGTCTGTAACACCATGTTTGACCATGAAAAACACATATTTACCATCAAAAAAGCCTCAGAAGGGCAAGATTTATATACAAAAATTAAACCTGTACATGACATTATGTTTTGTTTTTATAAAGTCTTTTGTTGTTGGCATTCATATAAATATACTGGTGTGATAACTTAGTATACATTTGATTTTTTTCTTTACGTATACGTCTATTTTGAACTTATAGCCCCTCCCTGGGGAAAACTCCCTCAGCCGCCACTGGTTCCCCGCTCTAGACTTAGACAGATTTTATTTTTTGTCATTTGTTTCCACAAGTGTAAAACACAAATTTAGTTGGGAACAATACCTTTAAGTTTAAAGTCTGCAAATACCACCTGCCTATGGTGAGTGGCATTTATACCACAATTTGGGATCAGTCATGACGACCTTCTTTCCTTATAATGTTGATTTATTTGTTTGTTTTTCTTTGATTTATTTGTTTGTTTTTCTTTGGGGGACTGGGTGTGTGTTGTTGACTGTGGGGGTGGCAGAAATAGAAATTTGCCCAGGCGCATATCTTTCTAGAACCACCACTGTTGAGGAGCCACAACATTCATCTTTGCTGACATAGTTTGTAAGCAGCTGCTGACCTTTCCTGCAGGAACAGCAGCTTTAATGTCACTCTCATCGCCTTCCGTAAACAGCCTCTTCGTGTTTCCTTCTATAGCCACACACGTGGCGAGTCGTCTTTATTTTAGCTTTTTTTGCGTGTAAAAACCACGCATTAAACCCCGCACGTCCAACCAAAACACGTCCGCAAGACTTTCTAATCATTCTGCCTCCACTGTCATCAGATAAAAAGGTAAATGTGTTTCTCAACAGACCTAAATCTCCGGAAATTGCTGCGAGAATCTTCCTTCTGAGGGATAAGCGTCTTCAACCTCAGCGGCAAAGATGAAGAAACGATTTTAACCGGTTATCATCTCGTACATGAAATACAAACACGGTAACTCACCTTTCCAGCCCTGCTCGCCGCTTATCTGAGGCCGCTCTGTTAATGTAAGCTCGTAACGGACCACGGCGTCTACCGGGTGGGCGGGGACTGGATGCGGTCCACGGAGAAGACGGGAGTCAGCTGTGAGCAGGCCTAGATCAGCCCCGCTGCTGGCGATCCCTGAGCGGCATGTGGCAAGTGGTTTTAACATTTATTAAAACGAAGAGATTAAAAGCCAGAGTTGAGCAGTATGGGTTGTAGGCGTTGGAAGAAAAACTCACATTCTTTTTGTTTTGGTTTTGTTTTGATGGTAAAATGCATCAGACCTTCAGTTATGGCACTTCCCCAGGGTAGCATTAGAGATGGGTTGCCCATATATATATAAATATATATAAATATATATATATATATAAAATAGGGCTGGGTATTTTAGCCGAAGTCCTGAATCGATTCGATTTTGACTCATACAGTTCTAAATTGATTAATTTCAATTCTATCTGTTTTTGATATAATGAAAATGGTTCAAATGTGTTTAAATAAAATACTCATGTATTAAATTTTTTCCTGTCATATGAAACACAAGGTGCAATCTCATAAATAAGACAGTTTAAGCTTAAGATGTGAACAAAACTGTCTCAAAAGTGCAAAGTTGTTTGTGAAAAGTGAAAAAGTGAAGCATCACTCGAGCGATCAGACGCGTCACAGCAGGGACACAGCAGACATGCATGAGCTGCATTATCTCTGCACAAACCATATGTGCAGCGTTGTCTGTAACAACTACAGGGTGTTTGCTGGTCAGCCCCCATTGTTAGTGTCTTCAGTCAGCCTATTGGCTATATTTGCAGCTGTCTGGCTTGAAGTAATCTTGAGTGCATCTTTCCTGCTCATTCGAATGTGAACATCACACGCGTCACTATAAAACTAATCGATCTCATTCCCTAGACATCGATTTTGTAAAAATGGAAAGGAATCGATTCAAAATCGATTAAATAGATTTTTTTACCCAGCCCTATTCAAAAGGCTTGGGACAGAATCATTTCTATACGAATTCTGTTTTAAGTAATTCGTTTATAGTAATCAAGAAATCCGCTTATATTTTGGCCATTTTATGAATGTAAACATGTGCAAAAATAATTGATAATTGGATCGAAACAGATGACAGCACGGATGAGGACATCATTGCGGAGGTACAAGAGCGTTTTGATGCGGGTACCAGTGCTGCATACAGCAAGGAGAAGGATGAAGGAGAGGAGACTGTTGTCTCTTCCAGAGCTGAGAAGAGGAATGCAGTTTGCATTTTAAAGACTGGTCTCTTGCATGTTGGTTTCAAAAACTTTGACCTTTTACATCATTTTGAAAAAGAAGTAAACTCGGTGTTGGACAACACTCTGATCCAGGGAACCATGGATTAATATGTGAAGTGATCTCTTAATGCGTCGCAGCAGATCTGCAACACAAAACAGACGTAGGCTAGCTTTAATTTTCTATAGCCTATGCAGTTATCTTCTATGTTGTTGTTCTATAAAACCGTTTGTTTCAAACTTCAGATTTGTTACAAAAAATGCACCGGCGGCACCATACTACAAAAGTCATGTCTGCACACAGCAGTATACTGTAATTAAACTTGCATAATACTGTAATAAAATTCAGTAAATGCGGAAGCTATCCGTTTCATTTTATTTACATTATATTACACACAAATGGCATTGAGATGATATTCTGCATAAAAAAGAAGTCAAATAATGGTAAATTTGGATATAGTAATCAACTCGTTATAGTGTTCACATTGGCTCTGGACCAATGTGATCACTATAAGCGGATTTCACTGTGTGCAAATGCCACTTCTTTTTTGTTTTTTGTTTTTGTTTGCTAACCTGCTACTCTGGTCATGCTCCATCTGTTTTTGCCCAATTCTAACTTTATTGGACTTTTTTATGAATAAAACAGGCTGTTATCATGATCCTCTTACTCATCTGTATTTGTATGTTACAAAACAACAACAACAACAACAACAACAACAACAAAAAACTATGTAATTAAATGTAACAGATGTTTTGTTTTTGTCTTTTCACTTCGAGGCAATATATTACTGCTCTGAAAAATGAAATGATAAAATGGCTTGCCATAAAGGTCTTTATGAAAAGCAGAGGAAGGTGGACACAATGTACAATTCATAAAAGGGGAGTGGCTTATAGCAGCTGCTGCAGCTATTACTAACACAGGGAAGACTAAATCATTGAGTAATAGCAGACAACTGCCTGGAGCTCTAAGGACCCTTAAGAGAAAATAAATTGTACAGTGAAATTATAGTTTAAAATTGAGTGGGCTCATCTGTGGATCCTCTTCTGTAAAGACTGTGAGGTTTCTTAAAGATATGTGATTTAAAAAATTGCATAACAAAGACTAAGAAAACAGCAAACAGGTCAAGTAGAAGGCTGTGGAGAATTTAACAGCAGGTTTAGGTTGTGAATATTTCATAGATGATTTCAGCCCGTCATCTGAAAAATCAACTTTTGACCAACCACAACACAGCAACCTAACTACACTGATACACTGGGCAAGGATAACCTAAACCAGGAGGTCCAGAGGCCCAGATGCAAGAATATTCTCAAAGGAATACTATCAGTTTCACAATTCTGGGTTTTATCTTGCAAAGCAGTCATGTTTAAATTATTTCACAAAGATGTGGGGAGAGGAAGATGCTCTAATTATTGGCTAAGTTAACTTTTTGATCTGCATGCAAATTAAAAAAATTAGCTGGAAATGAATTCCAAATAAACCTTTCCAACAGTTAAAACTGGTGGTGGCAGTATTATGCTGTGGGAGAGCTTCTTTGGGGAGGCGGTTACAACTGATGGGAAGATAAGTGGGGCTAAATTAAGCAGAATTCTAACCTCTGTAAAGGACTTGTCATGGGGCAGAGGTTTATCTTCTGGTACGACAACTATCCGAATACATGAGGTACGAAGTTAGAATGGCCTAGTCAAAGTCTAGACTGATATCCAACTGAAAATCATTGGCAATGATTGAAAACTAATGTTAACAAGCAGTCTCTATTCCATGTAAGATAAACTGTAAATAATAAAATGGAAATATTTTGAAATGATTATAATTTTTTTGCGAACTACAGTTAGATTAAAATATTCATATATAGAGAGAGAATTACATATAACCTTTTATGAAGAAACATTGGATTTCTCTCACTGACAAACAAATCCTGAAAAGGGGCTCAAGGCGACCTCTGGTGACGGAATTTTTTTTCCTTTCTGCAGTGAAGCTGTGGAAACTAACTTAGCAAGTCAGCTTTAGGTCAATAATTTATTAAACCGTGTTCTGACATCCCACTCTAAACCAAGAGGTTCATCTAAACCGACTTACATAAAGGGGATGCAGTGTCCATAGCAGGATGATAAGTTTGCATTCAATATGAAACCAACAGTGACTGTGTTGAATCAAAACTCAAATACTAATGTATGTTGTTTGTGTTTAATCTAGGGCTGGAACTAATGATTAATTTGCTAATTGATTAATCTATCGATTGTTATTTAATAAATCAACAAATAAATGATATCAAAAGGTTCCTTAAAGAAGATTTTTTACAGAATTAAACCAGATGAAACTAAAACTCCACATGTGGAGTTCTGGATAGAGTACATTGACAGAGAAACACATTTTTTTTAATCATAAAGCAAAATATTGATTTTTTTTTTTTTTTACGGCTTTCTTATAATTACTGCTCTAAGTGGGTTTCTCTGTCAGCTAAAAGCATGTTTTAGAGTCTCTATACTCCAGTTAACGATTAATCAATTACTAAATTAGTTGAAAATTATATCAATAATCTATTAATCACGATTAATCTAATTGTTTTAAATCCTAGTTTAATTCTATTATAATCTAGAAGTCTTTTGTAGTAAATTGTATTGCCCAAAATATTCCTTACATACTTCTTTGCATTTCTTTTCTGTTCTCTTACTGATATTTTACAAACTTTTTGTTAAATTTCTGTTTTTAAAATGCTAAACCATCACTAAACGTACATTGATGGTAAAGGTTGACACGTTCATTATTTGTAACAGCAAGTGATTCTGGTTATTTTAAAAGAAAACAAAATTGCAGATGTTAAGAAGAATGAAACTCAACATGTTAGTCAAACTATTCTTCACTTTATTCTTGTAAAACACAACTAACCTGTCACATGGTGATGTCATCACTAGTAGCAGTTAGTTGTGGAAATTTCCGGCCTTTTCACATATGTTAATAAAAGACATTCCTAAGATCTTACAGCATCTGCTCTGTCCTGTTCCTAAACAGGTCCATTGTTGCATTTCCAGACAATTTTCTTTTCCAAGCAAATAGATGTGCAATTATCTACATGAGGAATTGTGAAATGTTGTTCACAAGACTGGGAAGTTGGTCGACACCCAGTTACTCAATTCAATTCAGTTTATTTCTATAGCACCAATTCACAACACGTCAACTCAAGACACTTTACATTTCACCAAATCACACAGTCAAATTGATTCAAAGTTCTATAACTTAGGAAAACCAGTTGATTGCATCGACTCATTGACTAGGATGCCA